TCTGCCTCTTGACTCACATTTTCTTGCCTTTTAGCTTTGACTTTTTGGTCATTTGGTGTATTCAACTCAAAAGATGGAACAGGGCTGATATCTGGAGTTGATAAAGGAGTTATCAGAGACATCATCTGAACAGTCTGGACTTCAAGAGGAGGAAGGCAAAGACAAAGAAGAAGAGGGAGAGGAACTAACCTTGACATTCTTTTTACTCATGTTTGTATTTGGAGTTATTAGATGGTTTAGCTGACTTGGACCTCTTATGATGTTTGTGTCCATCATCACTGTTTTCCTGTTCATCTGTATAGTAATTCTCCTCACCTTCTTTTACAGTTTTTGGAATTCTATTTGGAATGGGCAAGTGTGTTTTAGTTCCTATTGCAGCATACATAATGTTTTTTTGGATCCTGAAGAAATGGTTTGCATAATACGATTCTCTACAAGGTGTTCATCTGGAGAAAATTTTGCTTTTTTTTTTCATTTTCCTTCTCAGTAAGATAATATTCTCTCTTTTTTTGTACTCCAAATTTCAAATTTCTCTTTTCTATATCCTTATTTATTCTCTCTTCAGGGTTATCACTTTACTTGTCAAAAGTAACTTACTTTCATATTTCTTTACTTTTTCAAAGTCACTGTCAAAGCAAGAATGGTCTATGTCACCTTCTGATGTATCTCTAAAGCAATCCATAATGGTAAAATATCTCCCAAGTGCTTATGGCTGTCTGTCTCTTGGGAGGGAAACTGAGCCCCAATGGCAGGGAAGGTTGCAAGCATGCTGCGGTGTGGAAAGATTAGTTTTTATTATTTCTTTTTTATTCTTTTTCAGTTTGATTGCAAGGAATGCTGTTTCTATGAATAAGATTTTGAAATTTATTGAGATTTTCTTTTGGAAAAAAGAAGTCAGATTTTGTAAAGTTTCCATAGATTTTTTGGGATGAAATGTACTCTGAAGGATATAAAATGTGTTTTTTATCCAATGTTTAGTCTCATTATCATTATTAAATAAAATAATATTAGTTAAATCTTCCCATATATATTTCTTTGCTATGTATTTACTTTCTTAAACTTTGAGTATACTGGGGTATGGTCTCTATATTTGTACTACTTATGTATCAATGATATAATAGCTTTGAAATAGAGATAAATATGAATATTATGACTTTTTATTATCTCAACATGTGTCTGAAATTTTATTCACACACTTTTCAAGGAAATGTAAAATACAGGCAAAAACATGATGATTGTTTGTCTACATGACTATGACTTCTCACAAAGTGTGTACACCTGTGATACAGTCAATGGCATCTGGACATATAACATGGTGGTCCATCAGGGGGCCCTGTAGGATTGTAGGGGTGTGAATAAGGAAAGCACACTACACACAGCGGGCCCTTCTCCTGGAGAATGACTGTAGTGAGTGACTTGGGAAGGGTCCTTGGGTTGGATTCTGTAAATGAAAACCCCTTCTCTTAGGTTAGTGTTATTTTTCTTACTGGACACAGATTAAAGAGAATGTATCTGTAAGTGTTATTGGTAGCCTTATTGCTCCAAGGAGGAGAGAACAGTCTTGAGAGGGATGCTTCTCCTAGAAATCAGAGAGGAGAAATAGAAAAGGAGAACATTGGTCCAGGCACATTGTCTGTAGGTTCATCCAGCCCTGTTTTCTTCTGAAACACAGCACATGGTTTTCTTCAATGCCCTAGTCACTTTATACCAAGCCCAGAGTCCCTGATCCTCATGTATACATTGGGAGAATAATAACAATGTTTTCCTTTTACATAGAAAGTAATAGAAGGCAGAGAAATTCAGTGATGTGCTCCAAGTCCTATAAACCAGTCCAGATCTTTTTACTCTAGTCAAGAAGCTCTATGCATGAAGTCAACTGTAATGATGCCTTCTCTCAAAAATATCAGTGGCTCTATATTTCTTCTGGAAAATATGCAAGTTCGGGGCTCAGGAGCATCCAGACTTAAATCTCAGAGGCTTCAATCTTCTTGCCTTTACTTAATTCCCACCATTGCCCAAACTGTGCATTCTGTCCAGTTGAATTCTTCATCTGCCCCCTGCCTTTGTTCACACCTTCCCTGACTCCTCTCTTCTTTCCCTGTTTACAACATTCATTCACCCTCTGATTTCACAAAACTCCTACTGGGAGATGTCACATTGGAGTTGAGCCTCTGTGTACAAGGCCTTCAGTCTTCATGGACATATTGAGAACTGGCATTCCATGTTTTTCATTTTCCTTCTCAGTAAGATAATATTTTCATGTGTGTTCTCTTGAGCGTTCTTCCCTGAGGGACCAGATTCAAGTCTCTGTAGCTCTCATACAAAATGTGATAAGTTCTGTGGGAAGCATTCAAAGTTCTCTCCAGAGGGATTTTCTGGGGCACATGATTCTATCTCATAGGAGGTTAAAAATCAGTGCACTCAATCACTAAATTGCATTTACAAGCAGGTGTATTTTAATAAGTGGTGAGAGTGCTGATAAAGTAGCATGTAAACGTCGCACAGTCAATGTCAATAGGTAAGATAGTGCGGCTTCTGCTCCTGTGACCGTTAGTGTTTTTTTTCATTGAGTGTTCTCAGTAAGAACTGGTGATGCTGTTGAAGACATGCCTCAGTGCTCAGGGATCAGTAGGCATGACTGAAATATTTGAATCAGATGTTTTAGTTTGATGGTTTGTCAGTTTCCTTTTTATTTTGTTCAGAAAAAGTGCATCTCATAATTACAATCATGAAGAATTTGGATATAATAATGAGCAAGTGAAAAGAGGGAGCAGCATTTGTGGTCAATTGTGACCATATCATAGTTTTGTTTTGTTCTTTAAGTATAGGTTTTGTTTGTAATTGACACATGGTAATTGCACATATTCATGATATATTCTGTGCCATTCCGATGCATGCACACAATCTTAATGATCAGATAAATGTAATTGTCATTTCTATAACTTCAGATGTTTATCATTTCTTTGTGTGGAACATTTAAAATCCTCTTCAAGTTTTTGAATTGTGCAGTTAGCTGTTGTCAACTATAGTTATCATACTGGGTTTTTAAACATAATTTTATTCAAAACATACTTTTAATCAGCATTATAAATGTTTCCTATTTTAAAATAATACTCCAAATTTTGTAAATTTTAAAACCTATCCAGTTTCTAACATGTGGAACTCAGTACACATTTCATTTATTTATTATTATAGCCATTTGAAATGAGTTTTGAGTATTTTGTCCTACAAAGTATATTTTTTAATTTTAGGAGAGGTTTTGCTATTGAAAAAACATATAATTATCATGGCTTATGTAGGCTTTGGATAATATGTCTATGGTCCAACTCAGGAATGAAGCAATTTGCCTTCTGCTGTTGCTCATGCCCTACAGATCTGCACTGAAGACACCATATACCTTCAGCTCACTGGGATTCTCTGTCCTGCTGGCTTCCTCATCTACCTGCTGAATATCCCCTGATTTTCAGAACATCACAGAAGACACAGTGGGCTCCATCTAGTTCCATTGCCATCAGGGACCTCTGACTTGAGCAAGTGTGTCCTGCCCTGTGCCTTTTTCCTCCCACTTACCAGCCCTTCTACCCACAGCGTCCAGTGACTGTGGTTGTCCTCTCCAGCTCCCTGTCCACATGTAATCTTTCTCTTATTTAAATTGTCTAAAGCCCTTGTTATTACTTGCTATTTGTTTTCCAATTGTGCTCTGTACTGGCTTCCCTTCGCTTTTAGACACTATTTTTTAGAGTTTAAGTTTCCTAATATATTCCATTTATTTCTTTAAAGTTATTATTTTAACATGTGTAATGAGCTGGGGATTGTTGGGTGCATTGTGTAGATACTAAAATGCAAACAAAATCTTTGCCTCAAGGATTATACTGTTGTGGGAATGATATTTGTATAAATGTGTATATAATGTCAATTGATAAAAATGAAAAAATACATGGCAATATGTGAGCGTTGTTGAGCTAGAGAGTTTGGGGGCATAATGGGGTACTATTTTATGTAGCTTAGTGGCGAGGATCATAGTTATTTTGGGTAGTGTGCTTATGTTTCTATTGAGATTTGGTCTATACTGAATTCCTTATATTGCAGAGTTTAGAAAATGGTAGGTCCATCAGAGCTTGTTGAATAATTAATGAGTCCATGAGGTGCTTTATGAGATTGGGGAAGGAAAGAGAGAGAAAGAGTGGGAAAGAGTGGAAACTTTGAAATTGTAGCCCCAGAATGACCAAAAAGTGGGCTTGTCCTTAAATCATAATGGTCACAAGGATGAGTCTTGGATCTTTGGGGCTAAAAATTTCACATCCCAGTAAATCCCAATAGATTTGGCCAGACATTAATAAGAAGTTAATAAGCTCAAAACCAATTTTCATAGTCTAGAGGTGTTACCTGAGACAGGTGCATTTAAAATACAACCCTCCCTGAGTATTCTTGTGGAATATTGTCAAACCATCAATGTCACACAAAGTTCTATTTGTCTTGAATCCAATGAATATTTAAGTAGATTTACATAAAATTCACTATTACTGAATTACTGTAAAAAATTTGGATTAGCTTTTTCCTATTTGTCTACTTTATCACATTTTATTTTCTGTAGTCTTAATTGTTATATTTACAACAATTGAATAAAGAGAAGGATATCTGTGGTAATATGGGATTAGAACCTGTGTTAGAAAATATCTATATACTTTAAGGGTATGTTTACCTTAAAACTACATAGCATACAAATTGTGATAGAAACTTGATAGCATTTTGAATTTTAAGACCAGATTTTTAAGAATTGTTCACTTTTACTTTATATTTGACAGTTTGACTAATATTGTTAATCTTAGTATTTTGCCCTTCTCCAAGTGTTCCAATGTAAGTTTTTTGGAACATGGGTTCCTCTTTTCATCCTCTACCAGAATTTCCATGCTGAATGCAGTCTGCTACTCCTAGACTCTGGACTGTGACTTTATTCTTTGATCATGTCTACAGAAACAATATAGGGCTTTTGTACTGCAATGAAAACACAAAATCAAAGCTCTGTGGTTGAATTCATCCTCTTGGGCTTCTCTGATCCTCCTAAACTCCAAGAGCAGATCTTTGGTGTTTTCTTGGTAATTTATTTGGTTACCCTGATGGGAAATGCCATCATCATAGCTGCCATCTTGCTGGACCAGACCCTCCACATCCCCATGTACCTGTTCCTGCAGAATTTATCTGTGGTGGAAGTGAGTTTCAGTGCATCCATCATGCCTGAAATGCTAGTGGTCTTGACCACGGACAGAACTACAATTTCTTTTGTGGGTTGTTTTGCACAGATGTATTTCATTCTTCTTTTTGGTGGGACTGAGTGTTTTCTCCTGGGGGCAATGGCTTATGACCGTTTTGCTGCCATCTGCCATCCTCTGACCTACCCCATGATTATGAACAAAAGGGTGTTTGTGAAATTAGTCATGTTCTCATGGGTCTCAGGGGTCATGGTGGCTACTGTGCAGACCACATGGGTATTCAGTTTTCCCTTTTGTGGCCCCAATGAAATTAATCATATATCTTGTGAAACCCCAGCAGTGCTGGAACTAGTATGTGCAGATACCTTCTTGTTTGAAATCTATGCCTTCACAGGCACCATTTTGATTGTTTTGGTTCCTTTCTTTTTGATACTCTTGTCTTACCTTCAAATTTTCTTTTCCATCCTGAAGATGCCATCAACAACTGGGAGGCAAAAGGCCTTTTCCACCTGTGCCTCTCATGTCACATTAGTCACCCTCTTCTATGGCACAGCCAGTATGACTTATTTACAGCCCAGATCCAGCTACTCATCAGCAACCAAAAAAGTGATGTCATTGGTTTACACGTTGCTCACATCCCTGCTGAATCCACTAATCTACAGCCTGCGAAACAATGGGATGAAAATGGCTTTGGTGAAATTATGGCGGAGAGCGGTGGTTTTACAGTTTGACTTGTTGAGAAGTCACGTGAGATTTGCTCATTCCTCAAGAAAACTCTATTTGAACTTAATAAATGATGAAAACAGATTCCATTTCTTGATATTAATGTGTTCACAGTGTTGAATTCCTTGAGTTTGAAATGTATCAGGAGATTCTTCTCTTTTAATATATGGTGTTGTCATTGTTTTTAAGGGATACTAAGTTTCCTTACCACATGATACAACGGTCTAGTCATGCATTTCCCTATTATCAGCATCCAGGTCATTATCAGACTAATGTGATTAAGATGATGCTTCAATAAATATCTAGTTCAATAGGTTTCTATGTATCGATGCTTTTATTTTGATGTGGTCATTTCCTCAAAGTCATTCTGTTAGAATGAATGTTATTTACACTTTTGTGTGTGTGTGTGTGTGTTGGTTGAAATCCTATTGAAGGCCTTGCATATGCTAAGCATGTGCTCAATCACTGTGCCACATGCCCTGCACTTTTTAATATATTTTAATTGCTATTGTAGAGTTACTTCCTTGTATTCTTGTAACCAGTTCAAACTGACCTGAAGGCTCACTGAAATTCAGTAACAGCTATAGCCTCAAGAGACCAATCAATAGTGTGTGTGATTTTTTTTTCTGGATAGAAAACCTTTTCAATGAATCAGAAAATGAATTATTATTTTCAAGCACAAATGAGCTCTACTTCTCCCAGTGGGATATACCAAAAATGTATTTTTCTTGGTGTTTTTTACATATATTTACAGAATGATGCATATATTTTCTGGATACTCATGTGGCAATATTAAGTATTGTTTTCATTATGACCATTATTTCAGAGTACTTTGAATTTTCCTTCATAGGTCAAATTGCCCTCAAATTTATCTGTGAACAATAAATGATTTTTTACAATTTATTTTGGGAAAATAATATTATTAATGAATTATTCCTATTTTCTATGGCCCTTACATCACATGACTTACAGTGTGAACTTTTCAGGGTTAATATTTTCACAGGTGTAAAATGTGGAAGTTTCATTCTTTGATGTTTTTCTATTCTCAGAGAATAGTAAGGTACCTGTTTACCTGTATCACATGTGTTTTAACACACACCATACTATTCTCTAAGATTATTCTTTTACCCTGAAATGTTACTTAATTCCTGCTCCAGGAATGGTAATAAAGGTGTAAAAGATTATTCCATTGTTAAAAGACCGTTTTTAAGTTTATCAGTACTTCTGCCAAAAGTGAAAATTAGAGGTATAAAATGAATTGGATTTGCAGTAAAATAATTTCATCTGAAGATAAACACAAGTTTGAATCGCATTTGAATGCCATCCAATGTTCTTTTCATGAGGGCATTTGATTGGCATTAGCAAATTCTTTCATTGTATTTTTGTGACCTAAAGTTTCCTCATTGTTTATATAGAGAGAGTGATCAAATACTGCCTTTGAGGAAATAAAATATTCAAATGCCCAAATCTGAGTACAATGCACTTAAAAATACATGATTTTTATTTTAATCTTTATTTTTTTTCATTTTTTTCACTCATATACTGAATTAATATGTTTATATTATGAGTGAATCAATAGTTTGAGGAAAATACAGTTAACAGGAAGATCTCTTTCAGTCAAGAGATAATTTCTTCCTTTCTGATGGTTAAAGAAAACTCCATTGTGTACATATACCCCATTTTCTTTATCTGTTATCTATTGATAGACACCTAGACTGGTTCTACAATTTGGCTATTGTGAATTGTGCTGTTATAAACATGGGAAAGCATGTATCTAAAATATGCTGTCTGTAATTCTTTTGGATAGATACCAAGAAGTGGTATAGCTGGATATTACAGTAGTTACCTGTTTAGTTTTTGGAGGAACCTCCATACTGATTTCCATAGTGCCTGTACTAATTTACTTTTCCCACCAACAGTGGATAACAGTTCCTTTTTCTCACATCTTTGCAAACATTGTTATTTCTGTTGAGATGGAGTCTCAGCATAGTTTTGATTTGCATTTCCTTTATGTGTAAAGATATTGAACACTTCTCACACAATTGCCATTTATTCTTCTCTGGAGGAGCGTCTGTTAGGTTCATTTGCCAACTTACTGAATTGGTTACTTGTTTGAATGGTGTTGAGTCTTTTGAGTTCTTTATATATTCTGGATATAAATCCTTTGTCAGGAGAGTTGGCAAAGATTTTTTCCTCCCATTCTGAAGGTTTCTCTTCCTGCTGTTGTTTCCTTTGTTGTGTAACTTTTTTGTTTGGTGTCATTCCTTTTCTTGAATCTTGGCATTACTTCCTGAGCTCTAGGAGTCCTTGTTGCCTGCACCTATAGGTAAGAGTCTCTCCTATGTCCTCTTCTAGCAGTTGCATGACTTCTGGTCTTATTCCTAGGACTTTGATCCAATTTGAATTGATTTATGTAGGGTGAGAAAGAGGGATCCAGATTGAACCTTTTACATGTGGATATTGTTTTTCAAGCACCGTTTGTTATAAAGGCTTATCATTTCTTCAACATAGGTTTTGGGCAATTGTGTCAAGAATCAGATGAGTTTTTAAAAAAAGGAATACGATGAGTGAAGCTACATGGGCTTACTTGTCTCTTCTTCTATATAAATTTGACAGAAGGACTTATTTTATGTTTCTACTCTTAATACCAACCATTAATTAATTTAACATTAACTTTAATTTTCCTCCCATTGTGAAGGTTAGTTAACTAACCTTCATTAACTTGAATCTCATGCCAGTTAGTGAGATGTATTCTTGAAATCACTTTCTGCTGGTTTTGAAGTTGACATACACAAGAAAGTGAACTTTAAAATGTAAATGTGTAATAACTATCCGTTTAAATATTTAAATTGGTGTTTAGTGTCCACTCATACACTTGCTTATGTTTTCTGATGAAAATTCTGCTTTGAATTGAGTCACCTCCGTCTGGCCTGGAGCTGTCAAGTCATGCCTTTTTCGCTATCTGGTATGTTTGTAACTTGCTGTTTCAGCTGGATAATTCTTGCTGTTTCTTCAGATCTCCTTAAAATGTCATCTGCTGAAGGTGGCCTTCCATGATCTGCTCTCAACTACCTATTTCCTGTTATCTCTGAAACCTGGACCTTACTCCATACCCTTTTATCTTAATTTTATTTTATGAAGCAGAATGCACTTTTCTTTTCCCTAAATGTACCTTGTACTTGTTGCTGGGATAATAAACAGAGGTAGTTTCCATGTGATAGAAGGTGGGGAAGGTGAAGGCCCCATTAGCCGAGCAGGATAAAGTGCAGGTATAAGCCTGAATTTACTATTAGTATATAGTTAGTATTTATGGCACAAAAAACTGCTTTTTTTTTTTTTTTTAAATTCATTCTGATTGCAGACCATTTTCCTCACATCTAGAGTTTTACCTGTCCCCACCCATCCTTAACAGTGGGAAATGGAGGAGAACAGTAGAAGAAAGAAACAGCACATAAGTTTTGATGTGGGATTTGTAGTCCTATATTTATAAGTGCCTTTTTAAATAGCATGTACAGTTTGTAGATCAAAACACTCCCTCTGGTGTGGTGAGCCGTTCCTATAGACCGTGGCCGCCATTAGAAGATGGCGCCGGCTTCCACTGTGGCCTGTGATAAACAACTCCTTTTTTGGAGAGTTGGCACGTAATCCTTTATCACCCTATGAGAAAGCTCCACGTGGCAGCTTTGCATTGGAGCTTGAGATGCTTTATTAAGGCTGGGAGGGGCATCCGGGAAAGAGAAGAAGAAATATCAAGGGCCTGAATAAACTGCTGAAAGAAGATTCCTGAGTTTCGTCTTCCTTGCGGGCAAGGGGTCGCGACAAGTGGTGCCGAGACCCGGGAACCAGAACTTTCAGTAGTCAGGGGTGGTGCACTGGTTAGTCCCAGGTAAGTGGGATCCGCGACCAAAGCGGGGTTAGTCCCAGGTGAGTGGGATCCGCGACCAAAGCGGGGTTAGTCCCTAGTAAGTGGGACCCGCGACCAAAGCGGGGCAGCTCCTCTGTAAAGAAAGAGAGAGCATTACATTTTATTGCAGCTGCACTGTGTACTTTCGCTTTTGTTTTCTGTGTTTCTTTTGTTGTGTCATTTCGCTTTTGTTTTTTGTGCTTCCTTTGTTGTTGTGTCATGGGTGCCGCATCTTCAAGTCCGCTTCTCCTGGCCCTAGATGGCCTGTTGCGTTCCAAGGGCCTGGAAGTGAAACATAGTACTTTACAGAGATTTTTACAGAAGATAGATATCGCTGCACCGTGGTTTGCATTTTCGGGCAGCCTTACTGTACCTAGTTGGGATAAATTAGGCAAAGATCTTGACTTTGCTTGTGAGCAAGGCACCTTAGAGGGTGGTGTTATACCACTTTGGAAGTTAGTTAGAGGATGTATAACAGATGGTAAATGCCAAGAAGCTGTGAGTGAGGGTCAGGCCGTTCTTGAACAACTACATGAGGAAAAATCTGAAGGATCACATAGTGAAGTGGCAGAGAGTATCAAAAGTAACAGTAGTGAGAAGGCAAAAGAGCCTGAAGATAAAAATAGGAGAAGGCTCTATCCAGACTTGACCGAATTCAAAACATCTGAGGACACAAGCGGCTCAGAGTGTTCTGAGGACCTTGATATATTGTTGCAACAACTACATAAGATAAAAATGAAAAAGAAGAAAAAGGAGACACAAGGCGCGCATGCCTACTGTAAGAAGGGGGAGGGATCTAATATTGGTCAACAGAATTCTGAGGAGGAGGAGGTTGAAAATTTAGAAGAAGATATGATGCCTGTTGCCCCACCCCCGTATGTGGGGGGGAGCCAAGGTTCCGGGAGATCTTTTCATGCGCAAGTTTGGAGGACAGTTAATACAGATATGGGACTTGTGTACCCGGTGTTTCAGGACAATAATAGAGGAAGATATCATGAGCCTTTAGACTTTAAGATAGTTAAAACCTTGGCAGAATCCGTCCACACTTATGGCATAGATGCCGCTTTCACTCTCACTCAGGTGGAGGGACTTACTAGATTTTGTATGACTCCCTCAGATTGGGCTAGTCTAGTCCGCGCTTGTGTTTCCCCAGGGAAATATTAGGAGTCCAAAGTTGGCTGTTTAATGTTTCTGGCATTACCCAAGACTCGGAGCGAGGTAGGAGGCTTAAAATTTTTGCAAATAATTCACAATTATCTAATGCTACATTACCCTCCGCAGCAGTCTGTCTCCAATCTCCGTTCCTGTTTCTTTTGGCTAATGTTACATTACAGGGGATGCTTAATTGTTCTAATGTTACTTGCTACTTGTCTGAGTGTTGGAATGGCTCCTGGACTACGGCAGTGATTATGAAAATTCCAACCTTTGTCCCGATCCCGGTTACTGCAGATCCAGAATCCTTTCCTATTGTTGAATTGATTAGAACCCGTAGAGATTTTGGAATTACGGCAGGTATAGTGACAGCTGTGGCGGTATCTGCTGCTGCAGCAGTTACAGCTGGAGTAGCCATGGCCAGCCAAGTACAAACTGCTGCCACTATTAATCAGATTATTCAACAAACATCCACCATACTTGAATCCCAAAGTAAAATTAATCAACACATTTTATCTGGGATTCTGGCTGCTAATCAAAGGATAGATCTGCTTCAAGCTCAAGTTGAGGAACTGTCTGACCTAGTACATTTGGGTTGTATTGATCAACGTGCACATTTATGTATAACCTCTGTCAGATTTAATGATTCCAGGAATGCCTCCCGCATCATTGGCGAATATTTGGCCGGAAATTGGTCCATGGCAGCGGAAGACTTGATCCAGTCTCAACTAACTCAGATTGCTGTTTTGAATAGTACCCGTGTCGATCCCGTGACTTTGGGTCAATTCACCGATTGGATATCTTCTGCTTTTTCCTTCTTCAAAGAGTGGGTGGGGGTAGGCATTTTTGGTGCAATGTGTTGCTTCGGTGTTGTACTTTGTTTGTGGCTTCTCTGTCGCCTTAAAGCTCGCCATGCGCAAGAGAAAGCTATGATTGTACAAGCTCTTGCAGCTTTAGAAAATGGCATTTCTCCACAAATCTGGCTTGCACATCTTAAACAGTGATTTCTGGGCATGGCCATTGCACCCCAAGTTAGTTTCACATTGCACTGGGATTGGCATGTCCTCTTCTTTATGCTCTCCCGGTACTGAATAGCCCTTGCACTCTGCAGGTCTTGTTACCATTGCACGCAGATGGGTTTCAGGACTGGTCTTTCTTCTCGGCTACAGACTCTTTACCTTCCTCTGGGGCTTAGGGATTGTGTTGCCAACTTAAATTTTGTCATCATTACCAGGCTACCTGTGTTATCCTACTTCTCATCGTCGTCACGATGCAGGATGTGAGGCAAGGCACTGCACTTGAGTGATCCCTCAACGGACCTCAAGGAAAGCATGTCCTATTGCATGCGGGTTTGACGTCCACGCCCCGCCCTACGAAAAAAGGCGTCGGCTGATATGGGATCAGGTCTGGGGAAGGCGCCTCCTTAGGACTGAACCATACATTGCAGCCACTTCTGCACAGTGGGATAGGACCTCTACTTTCGCCTGCATTGTTTTATAAAACAGAAGGGGGAACTGTGGTGAGCCGTTCCTATAGACCGTGGCCGCCATTAGAAGATGGCGCCGGCTTCCACTGTGGCCTGTGATAAACAACTCCTTTTTTGGAGAGTTGGCACGTAATCCTTTATCACCCTATGAGAAAGCTCCACGTGGCAGCTTTGCATTGGAGCTTGAGATGCTTTATTAAGGCTGGGAGGGGCATCCGGGAAAGAGAAGAAGAAATATCAAGGGGCTGAATAAACTGCTGAAAGAAGATTCCTGAGTTGCGTCTTCCTTGCGGGCAAGGGGTCGCGACACTCTGGTCCTTGTAGGACACTTATATCTTGAGTCTTTCTCAAGCATTTAAATGTGATCTGTGTAATGCTGGAAGTTTCATTTGATAAGTAGACAGTGAAGTCACTGATAACAGTGACTAAAAGAATCTGTCCACCACTGTGTCCCACCTGCCTAACACAGTGCCTGAGAGAGAGTTTGTACGTATCAAATACTTTCTTCATGAATAAGAAGAGAGCAGTCTGAGTCAAGATGTTAGCTTCAAGTCTTGGTCCCTTGGAGCAGGGTCTGGCATAGTCACAGAAATAATCCAGGAGAACTGGTAGCAGAGCAGTCCTCAGGAGGAAGCCCTTCCAGTGCTTCACAGCTGAGGGCTAGTGGGTGGCAGGGTTTGTTTCCTCAGCTGCCTTCCTGAGTGTCCCTGTGTTGATTCAGCCCTCTGGACATGGAAGTCTCCATCAAGAGGTTTGACCAGTCACATGCAAAGATACAGGGTATCTCTTGGGACACTGGTGTGGCCAAGTAAAGGAGATATTCCATTTCTTGTGATATGAAAAATGATGTGTTTATCATGGAGTTTCCATATCTCAGAGTTAAGAGCAAGTTCTGGGTTTTAGAGATCCTCTGATGTTTGTAATATACTCACCAAGTAATTTTTTCAAACTTCTTGAACTCCTCTTGGGAGGAACTTGTATTCCTGAGGTCGCCCAGTTCACCCTTCCATGATGGATGATGGGGCAGCTTGAGATGAAGGGGCAGCTTGAGAATTCTCTTAGAGTTGGAAGTTGGGTTGTTGTTCATAGTTTCTAGATGACTCCTGAATTTACAGGCAATCACACATGTGAGTTCAGAAGAGCAGCAACTTTTGTGTAAAAAAATATACATACATATTTCTTTCTCTGTTTCTTGATTTGTTGTTCCAGCTTTCATAACTTGATAGCTTTTGTTAATGATACAATTGTGCATCCCAATCTGGCTTGTACGATTGTTTGGGCTGTTGCCATTTGCATTTTGGTGGTAGCTGTGTGTGTGTTTATTGATTACTGTATATCACTTACTCTTCAAAGAAGATGCTATGGGGTTAAATTCGGAGGAAAATTGCATGGCCCCATAAGTGGTTTATTGGAAAAATGGGGATCATGTGTTTTTCAGCACTTAATATCTTGGCTGCATTTTATTGTGCATCACAATTGTGAGGAAAAAGGAAACATTGAACCATTAAGAATATAACAATCATGTCTAGTGGGAAATTAGTGAAGAAAAATTCTGATTAACTCTCAACATAATCTTAGTTTAATTAATATGGAATCTTCAATATTCAGTTTATCATGACTACTTTAAACTTAATATGAATAAAATTAATTGTGTGATATTATTTAAGATTAGGTACACATGTTCTGCTTCATTAGGGATGTGTGGAATATTTGTGTCTTTTTGGGGATAGATCATTCATGCTTCTAGTCATGAACTATGTGCACTGTTTTTGGGGTTTATGATGGTTAACCTAGATCAAATTTATTTTTGTTGAGTCTTTATTACATAATAAAATTGATATAAATATTTAAATTATGCATTGGTGTTATTTGCATTCATATAGAATTGGATAAATTTGTGTTTAAAAAATTACAAAGTGAAATGAGATCACATTAATTCTAGCATGGTTTTAAGTGTGTGTATGGCTGTAGTCCTACACTGCCTACTCAATGGTTTGTGATGTATTTTTGAAGAGATAGTAAATTGAAGGGGTCTTGGTAAATGGTGACCATGTAGTTTGGGCCAAGGGATAATCTTCTTCTCTGCTGCTATGGCCACTTTGTTCTATCGCAGCATGACAGCAAGGGAGTAGCTGCTGAGAGAGGCTGGTTAAAATCAATAACTGAGTCTCTACTACATGGTTGAATGTTAACATGGGATGCCAGGACCTTCACACTCTATATCCACTCAGTATGTCTTAACCCTAGGCCGTGTGGCTGCCAGATTTTCTGTCTTTTCTTTCAGGACCAAGTCCGTAAACTCTCCATTATCTTGTTGCATTACCAACCTTCACATCCACACCCTCATATTCAGTTCCATGACTTCTTCCTGTCCTTTTTGGTACAGGCTGACCAGATCATGCAGGTCTTTACGGGTGTAGTTCCTTTGTTCTTTAGTCCCCTTCAGTGCTTCCCTAGCTGTGCAATGCTGTGATGTACCCTCTTTTATAGGCCTGGTATAAAGGAGATAAGGTGAATTCAGTACCCTTCTACTTCTCTGCAAACCTGATGCCACACCTATGGTATTGTCTTATTGCTCTTAATTGGAAGAGGTTGGTTACTGTTGCAGTGTCAGAATGGTCAGAGATGTCTTAGCAAACAAAATCTTTGTAGGCATCCAGCCAGCATCCCCATACCATGTATCAAGGCCTTAGATTTTTTCCAGCTCTAGCTCCATCCTTGATTAAATAGTCAATTTTCTCTGAATTTCAGGTACTGACTAGAGAACTCTGCAATTGATATCATGTCCCCTTCACTGTTCACTTTACATTGAGCCAAGAGTCCCTGATCCTTATATATACCCTTTGGGATTAATAATAATGCTTTTCTTTTTCATAGAAAGTAATAGAAACAGAGAAGTTCAGTGGTGTGCTCTAAGTCCAGATCTTTTGACTCTAAGAAGCTCTATATATGAAATAAACTGTAATGACACTTTTTCTCAAAAATGTCAGTGACTCTATATTTCTTCTGGAAAATATGCAAGTTCAGGGCTCAGGGGCATCCAGACTTAAATCTCAGAGGCTTCAATCCTCTTGCCTTTACTTAATTCCCACAATTGCCCAAATTGTGCATTCTGCCAGCTGAATCTTCACCTGCCGCCTGCCTTTGCTTACACCTCCCCTTCTCCTCCCTTCTTTCCCTGTTTACAACATTCATTCACCCTCTGATTTCACAAAACTCCTACTGGGAGACGTCACATTGGAGTTGAGTCTCATGTGTACAAGGCCTTCAATCCCTGTGGACATATGGAGGACTGGCACTCCAGGTGTATTCTCTTGAGCTTTCTTCCTTGAGGGACCAGGTTCAAGTCTCTGTAGCGCTCCTACAAAATATGAGAAGGTTTGTGGGAAGCATTCCAAGTTCTCTCTGGAGGGATTCTCTGGGGCACATGATTCTATGTCATGGGAGATAAAAAAACAGTGCACTCAGTCACTAAATTGCACTTATGAACAGGTGTCTTTTTACCAGTGGTGAGAGTGCTGATAAAGTAGCATGCAAGTGACAGAGTCAGAGTCAATAGGTAAGACAGTGCAGCTTCTGCTCATGTGTCTGTTAGTGGTTTTTTAATTGAGAGTTCTCAATGAAGGCTGGTGATACTTCTGTCTCAGTGCTCAGGAATGAGTGGGCATGGCTGAAATATTTGAAGGCAACTTTCTGGTTGATCCTTCAGTTACTTTTTTGTTTGTTTCAAGAGAAAAGTGCAGCTCATAATTACAGTCATAAAAACTTTGTATAAAGTAATGAGCAAATGAAAAGAGGGAGCAGCATTTGTGGTCAATTGTGACCACATCACAGTTTTATTGCTGCTCTTTATTATTTATGTTTTGTTTGTAATTGACATGTAGTAATTCCACATATTCATGATATATACTATGTAATACCAATACATCCACACAATTTTTATTCATCTGCTAAATATAATTGGCATTTGTATAACCTCAGAGGTTTATGATTTCTTTGTGTGGCAACATTAAAATTCTCTCTAGTTAAGTATATTGAATTGTGCAATTAGGTTTTGTTACCCATAGTTATTTTACTATGTTTTTAAATATACTTTTATTCAAAACATAATTTAAATCAGTTTACAAAATTTTCCTTTGTTTTCAAATACTACTCTAAATTTTTACATTTTAAAACCCATCCAATTCTAATATTTGCAACTGAGTTCACATTTTGCTTATGATGATGATTATTAGTAGTATTTTTATTTTGCCATTAGAAATGAGTTTTGATTATTTGGTCCTACACAGTATATTTTACTAATTTTAAGAGAGTTTTTGCTATTAAAAAACAAATAACTGTCATGGTTTATACAGACTTTTGATAATATGACTATGGTCCAAATCAGGAATAAAGCAATTTGCCTTCTGCTGTTGCTCATGCCCTACAGATCTGCACCGAAGACACCATATACCTTCAGCTCGCTGGGATTCTTTGTCCTGCTGGCTTCCTCATCTCCCTGCTGACTATCCCCTGGTTTTCAGAACATCACAGAAGATGCAGTGGGCTCCATTCTAGTCCCATTGCCATCAGGGACCTCTGACTTGAACAAGTGTGCCCTGCCCTGTGCCTTTTTCCCACCCACTGCCCCTTCCACCCACAGCATCCTGTGACTGTGGTTGTCCTCTCCAGCTCCCCGTCCACATGTAATCTTTCCCTCATTTAAATTGTTTAAAGCCCTTGTTATTACTTGCAATTTGTTTTCCAATTTTGCTCTGTACTGGCTTCACTACGCTTTTGACACTATTCTTTAGAGTCTAATTTTCCTAATATATTCCATTTATTTCTTTAAAATTATTTATTTAACATGAGTAATGAGCTGGGGTTTGTTGGAGGCATTGTATAGATACTAAAATGCAAACAAAATCTTTGCCTCAGGGATTGTACTGTTGTAGGAATGATATTTGTATAAATGTATATGTAATGTCAATTGATAAAAATGAAAAATACACAGCAATATGTAAGGGGTAGAGCTAGAGAGTTGGGGGAATAATGGGTTCTATTTTATGTAGCTTACTAATGAGGGTCAAGGTTATTTTAGGTAGTATGCTTAGGTTTCTGTTGAGATTGTGTCTGTACCAAATTCCTTATATTGCAGAGTCTAGAAAATGGTAGATCCATTAGAGCTTGTTGAATAATTATTGAATCCATGAGGTGCTTGATGAGGAGACTGGGAAATAAAGAGAAGAAAGAGTGGGAGAGAGTGGAAACTTGGAAATGGCAGCTCCAGAATGACCAAAAAGTGGGCTTGTCCTTAAATCATCATGGTCACAAGGATGAGTCTTGGATCTCTGGGACTAAAAATTTTATATCCCAATAAATTCCAACAGAATTAGCCAGACATTAATAAGAAGTTAATAAGCCCCAAACCAATTCACATAGTCTAGAGGTGTTACCTGAGACAGGTGCATTTAAAATACAACCCTCCCTGAGTATCCTGTGGAACATTGTCACCCTTCAATGTCACACAAAGTTCTAGTAGTCTTGAATATAAAGAATATTTAAGTAAATTTACATAAAATTCACTATTCCTGAATTATTATCAAAAGTTGGCATTAGCTTTTTCCATTTATCTGCTTTATTTTCTGTAGTCTTCATTGTTATATTTACAAATAATGAGGAAATGAGATACGTGTGGTAATATGAGATTAGAACCAGTGTTAGAAAATACCTATATTTCTTTAGGGTATGTTTACTTTAAAATTGCATAGTGTACAACTAACAATAGAAACTTGATAGAATTTTGCATTTTTAAGATCAAATATCTAACTAAGAATTTTTTATTTTTACTTTTATGTTTGATAAGATTTACTAATATTATTAATCTTTGTATTTTCCCATTCACCAAATGTTTCAATGTAAGTTTTGGAAGATGGGTTCCTCTTTTCATCCTATGCCAGAATTTCCATGGTGAATGCAGATTGTTTCTCTCAGTTATTGGACCATGACTTTATTCTTTGATTATGTCTGCAGAAACAATATAGGGCTCCAGTACTGCAATGAAAAGACAAAATCAAAGCTCTGTGGTTGAATTCATCCTCTTGGGCTTCTCTGACTTTCCTGAAATCCAAGAAGAGATCTTTGGGGTTTTCTTGGTTATTTATCTGGTGACCTTGATGGAAAATGCCACCATCATAGGCGCCATCTTGCTGGAGCAGACTCTTCATATCCCCATGTACCTGTTCCTGCAGAATTTATCTGTAGTCGAAGTGAGTTTCAGTGCAGCCATCATGCCTGAAATGCTGGTGGTCCTGTCCTTTGAGAGAACTACAATTTCTTTTGCAGGCTGTTTTGCACAGATGTATTTCATTCTTCTTTTTGGTGGAACCGAGTGTTTTCTCCTAGGGGCAATGGCTTATGACTGATTTGCTGCCATCTGCTGTCCTCTGACCTACCCCATGATTATGAACAAGAGGGTGTTTGTGAAATTAGTAATGTTCTCATGGGTCTCTGGGATCATGGTGGCTACTCTGCAGACCACATGGGTATTCAGTTTTCCCTTTTGTGGCCCCAATGAAATCAATCATCTGTTCTGTGAGACTCCCCCAGTGCTGGAACTTGTATGTGCAGATACCTCCTTGTTTGAAATCTATGCCTTCACAGGCACCATTTTGATTATATTGCTTCCTTTCTTGTTGATACTCTTGTCTTACCTTCGAATTCTCTTTGCCATCCTGAAGATGCCATCAACAACTGGGAGGCAGAAGGCCTTTTCCACCTGTGCCTCTCATATCACATCAGTCACCCTCCTCTACGGCACAGCCAGTGTGACTTATTTACAACCCAAATCTAGCTACTCACCAGCAACCAAGAAACTGATATCATTGGCTTATGCGTTGCTCATACCCCTGCTGAATCCCCTTATCTACAGCCTGCGAAACAAAGAGATGAAAAGGGCTTTGGTGAAATTATGCCAGAGAGTGGTGGTTTTACACACAGTCGTACTTGTTCAGAAGCTATATGATATTTGTTCATTACTAAAAAGAACTACGTTTGAATTTTGGAAATGTTGATAACCTTACATTTTTTGTAATAGTTCACATTGTTGAATTCCTTGAGTTTAAAAAATGTATCAGGAGATTCTTCTCTTTTACTACTGTGGTGGTGTTATTTATTTTTCATAGATAAAGTTTCCATAGCACTTGATACAACAGTCTTGTCCTTCTCTATTATAGGCATTTAGGTTATTATCAGAGTATTGTGATTAAGATGATACTTCAATAAATATCTAATTCTATAGGTTTCTATGTATTGATGCTTTTATTTTGATGTGATCAATTCCTCAATGTCATTCTGATAGAACGAATGATACACATACACATGTATATATGTGTGTGTGTGTGTGTGTGTGTGTGTGTGTGTGTGTGTGTGTGTTGGTTGAGATCCAACCCAAGGCCTTGCATATGCTAAGCATGGAATCAATCATTGTGCTCTACACCCTGCCCTTGTTTATATATTTTAATTGCTATTTTAGAGTTACTTCCCTGAATGCCTGTAACTAGTTCAGACTGACCTGAAGGCTCACTGGGATTCACTAACCGTTATAGCCTTAAGAGACCAACAAATAGTGTATGTGATTTATATTTCTTTAAAGATATTTTTTAAAGAGTTTGTAAGAAAATGAAGTATGTATTCAGGCTCAAATGGGTTCTACTTCATTATCTCTACCACACAGGAATAATCTAAAACTGTATATATATATATATATATATGTATGTATATATATTTGATGGATCTTTATTTTATTTATATGTGGTGCTGAGAATCATACCTAGTGCCGCATGTATGCCAGGCAAGTGCTCTACCACTGAGTTGTAACCCTAGCCCCTCTCTTGGTATTTTTTACACATATCTTTTACATAGACTTGTGCAATGATGCATACATTTTCTGGATTCTCATGTGGCAATATTAAGTATTATTTTACTCATAACCACTATTTTAGATTCTCTCTTTGAATTTTTCTTTGTAGGTCAAAGTGTCCTCAAAGTGTTTATAAACAAGACATGATTTTTAAAATTTTTTATTGTGGGAACACAATATGATTAGGGAATTATGTCTAATTTCTGTGTTACTTCCATCACATTACTTATAGTGTGAATTTTTTAGAGGGAATAATTTAACTGGTGCAAAATCTGGAACATTTCATACTTTGTCCTATTTACTATTCCTGGAGAATAGTAAAGTACCAGATAAACAGTTACCTCATCATTCTCCTGGATTAACACTGACATAGTGTTACTTAACTCCTGTGCCAGGGATGGCAATAAAATGTAAAAGACTATTCTCATTTGAAGTCATCATTCAGTGTGGGAAACCCATTTTTAAGTTTATCAGTAGTTCTGCCAAAAGTGAAAAATAGAGGCTTAAAATGAATCAAATTTTCACTAACAGAAATTTCATCAGAAGATTGACACCAGTTTGAACCCTATTTGAACATTGTCTTATATTCTTTTCATCAGAGCATTTGATTGGCATCAGCCAATTTTGTGTCCTAAAGTTTCCCGCTTATATAGACAGACTGATCAAATGCTGACTTTGAGGGAATAAAATATTCAAATGCCAAAATCTAAGCACAATGCAAAACTTAAAATACATAACTTTATTCTTTTTCCATTTTTTTTCACTCATATACTGAGTTAATATGTTTACTTTATGAGTGAATCAATGCTTTGAGGAAAATACAGTTAACTGGAAGATCTCTTGACTTTCAGTCACTGAAGTCAACCATTAGGTATTTCTCTGTCCCTGGTAAGAAATAGCAGTTGAACTCCAATGATTTAATCATATACATGAGGATTCCAGAGACATATTGAATCTCCATTTAGTCATAACTTTGACAACAAACAGCTGGTCCGAAAGGATCCATTTGTTTTGTTTATTTATTTATTTTAAAATTAATCTCAACAATCTTGGGAAATATAATAACGTATCTGTCATTTGTTTGGGGTGCATGTTAATGATACCAAATGGTGACTTTTATTGTGGCATATTAGTAAATGTATATAACATGATTTGATCAATTTAATTCCCCAGTACCTCCCCTTGCCCTCCCCTCCTCCCTTCCTCTGAACCCCTTTCTCTACCTTATTTAGCTCCCTTCTAGTTTCATGAGGTCCTTCCCTGTTTCTTTTTCCTCTCTTGCTTCCACATATGAGAGAAAGCATATAGCACTTTTCTTTCTGAGTCTGGATTATTTTTCTTAACATAATTCTTTTCAATTCCATCCATTTTCTTTCAAATAACATAATTTCTTCCTTTCTGGTGGTTGAATAAAACTCCATTATGTACATATACCCCATTTTCTTTATCCATTACCTGTTGACAGACACCTAGACTGATTCTACAATTTGGCTATTGTGAATTGTGCTGCTATAAACATAAGGGAAGGCATGTATCTAAAATATGCTGTCTGTAATTCTTTTGAATAGATACAAAGGAGTGGTATAGCAGGATATGATGGTAGTTCCCTGTTTAGTTTTTTGAAGAACTTCCATTTTGATTTCCATAGTGCCTGTACTAATTTACTTTTCTACCAACAGTGGATTTTTCCTCACACCTTTGCAAAAATTTATTGTTATTTCAGTTAAGATGGAATCTCAACATAGTTTTGGT